TTCCTTTCCTTCTATGCATACCAATCTTACATTTTCATGCCCCTAGAGAGGTTCACTCATTTCATGAAGCAGAACATGAAAAAAGTTGGGAAGCATTACTAGGAATAACAGACTCAGTCATTACAAGTTAGGGACTGATGCACAGGATTTCCTTCAACTTTTAACTTATTATTTAAAGTGTCATAGGTGGATGCAGTGCTTCAAAAATGAAGTGACTAACACTCATGAGAAGTGCCAGAACAGGTAGAGAACTGAAACCGACAGCACAACATCTGTTAATCGTGTGCCTCAACCCTATTCTGGCAGGACCAACTCATTAGAATGAGAGAGTAGTGCATACCCACCCGGGGCAGCTGAATGTGTGAAGACATGCCATCTCTTCAAGATAGAGAGGAAATGCCAGAAGACAACATAAAGCTGGATTCTTATTATCCGTAAGGGAGGGAGGTGAAATACGTGAAGTAGTTAGAGCCACAATTTTTTCCCCATTGACTCTCTCCATAGCATGAGCTTGTATCTGGGCACTTTTAGGGACAGAGGAGCTTCTGAGAAAGAGCTCTTTCCTCTACACTAGATTTCACCGCAGCCAGTGAAAACGCTTTGCTACGTGGCATTTCAAGGGAAACAGATGGAGTAGGCCAGATCATAACTAAGTGCAAAACTTGCACACACACAAAAAAATAGATCTCTGAAATATTTTCCATTACCTACTGTATACAGTCACAAACTACAAAGGTCTTTTTCACCTCCCAGCCCACTGTTCAAATATTCTACAGCCACCACACTGCTACATGACAAACAAGTTTATCTACTCTCAACTACTTTAGTAACCTCACTAGGAAAAAAACCAAGACCTGCAGCATCCTTTGCCCAAAGGAAGTACATTCCTATAGCTGACAAACCAGTTGGATCAGCGAATTTGCTTATCATGTACCTGTTATATTCATTGGCCGTACACTGTCAGTCTCTTTAATACGGATGTTCCAATTCAATTATGCAACTAATCAAGACCTACAAGTTATACCATTATTCTACAACAACCTTAAATTTAGTTAAGAATAAAAGGCTAACTAATGCTCAAATCAACCTAGAACGAAACTAGACCCCGATCTCAGAAAAATCAACTTGTCTTTAAAACTTATTGTGTTTACTATTTTTGATTTATGATTTTATGGGGTTTTTTTGGTTTATGAGACTGTATAATTTTCTTTGTTTTAATTTAAGACTTTAACACCAGCAAAAGATGCCAGGTAGGCACTCCCAGAGAAGGAAGTCCTCCATCTACAGAGCAGGTGCAGCAAATACAAGTTCTAGAGTGCACATAAAAATTGCTGCAATAATTAATCTGCCTGGGAGGAAATGTGCCTGATCAACAATGCATGTAGAAAGCAGGAGTGGCAAAAGAAATCGAACAGCATTTAATAGAGTTGCAGCAACCTGCCTAGTAATTTTAGCCAAGGATTTTAACCTATGGTAAACAAAGCTTTTGTAAGTACTATGCTAATGTCCCCTGTTCCACCTCCCCCAACCTCACATGCAACCACAGGCTGTAGTGACTTTTCAGAAATAGAGCCAAAAGGAGGCAGGCTCTGATACTACTACTTTCTCCTCTACCTCCAACATCTTTGCCTAATTGTTTGAAGGCCTAGACCAGGCAGAAATAAGAGCATCTCAACCAGTATGTAGGAGTCCAGTATAGAGGAGGAGGAGCCAGAAAGTTGCTGGGAAAAGTAATAGTCTGTGTGAAGAAGTGGGGGGAACTGGATTAATGAAGAAAAATCTTCAATTTTTGATTTATTTGGCTAAGGAGCAATGAGAAAAAGAAACCCAGATTTTGAAAGAAACAGGGCAATATACATATGCTATGCTCCCAATTCAGATTAGACCTATACTACCTGGAAAATTTAGAGCTACAATAGCTAGGATGTTTGAGTACCTTTATAAAGAAGGGCTCTAAATCCTACCTCCTCTAACCCATTTTATTTGAAAAACCATCCTCTTTTCCCCCCTCCTCCCACTGCCAACACCCTACTACACTTCTACCCCGATATAACGTGACCCGATATAACACAAATTCGGATATAACGCGGTAAAGCAGTGCTCCGGGAGGGCGGGGCTGCACACTCCGGTGGATCAAAGCAACATTTATATAATGCGGTTTCACCTATAACGCGGTAAGATTTTTTGGCTCCCGAGGACAGCGTTATATTGGGGTAGAGGTGTACTTTCTCCACAGCCACTTCACTCTGTTCTGCAGAGACAGAACAAGTGAGCAAAAGAGCTGATGTGAAATATATAAAACTCAAATTTTACCTTGCAGCACACAGCACAAAAGGAAGCGTACCTAACAGTTTTGCAGAGGGAGACATTCATGTCTGTTGCAGAGTCCAAGGAATTTTGGTCTTACCGCTAAGTTGCATTCGTGGAAGGGGAACAATCTGGAAACTGGACTGCTGATTCGCTTTCATGCTGCCGTTGCCCTTTAGGCCCAGGGAACCGCAACCTTCTGAAGTAAACCTGAGTTTGACTTAGAGGAAGAACATTTCATCTATCCTGGGCTCAAAAAGGTGCCTGAAGAGGATACAGCTTTTTGTTTGGTTTGGGGGTGGGGCACGAGGGAGGGGAAAGAATGGAAAAGGGCTCCTAGCTCCATTACCGTGATTCTTGTGTTACTGAGTCTCTATGCAAGACTATTCCCACTATGCCCAGTCTGGGGTAGGCGAGGCCAATAGAATGCTGCTCCTCGGAGGAAGAAAGGGCCTGAGCAACAGGAGGGGCGCACAGGATAATTTCAGTGCTGCGACTGCTCCAAATACCTCTTTTAAGGAGTCGCTGCAGCTTGTTAGAAGTTTCCCTGTGAAGGTCAATCAGCCAGACTGATAAGCATTTAGTGCCAAAATCTGCTTGGCATCAATTGGTTTGAGCCACCTAATTATGCAGAAGGATAGGGAAACTACCCAGTTTCTGAATTCCACAAGCAAAAAGCTTGAAGGGCTAGAGAGGCAGAAGATCAAATACAAAGGAACAGCGCAACAAGCCAGAGGAAATAGGTAGGATGTTTCCCTCTTTTGGGGGTTGGATGCAAGGAGAAAGGGAAGAGGCTGCTGCTGCTCCTCCATGCAGTTTCAGAAATACTAGAAATATCTAGGTACGTTTTGTGGTTGTGTGCTTTGGCAGTCACTTACCCTCCCAAATCATCCCCCACTAGTGTTAAACATGACAAGGCCAAGGCTTGCTTTCAAGTCCTGGGCAAGTCCTTTATTCTCTTTGCTCTTCACAAGGTTAATTGACACCTTATAAATCTCTGCCAATCCACTGTAGTTTCCAATTTGTGTCCTCTACACATCCTGTTTACACAGATGACAAGAATGTACTCACAAAGAAGTGGAAATGTTAACTGTATCATGTGTCACTGATTGTCCCCTACTAGAAATTAACAGTTTGTTGGTTTTTGGGGCAATTATTTAAACTGAGAAAACGCATTTAGGGTAAAGGAAAGAATTTCTTGTAAATAACAATACAAGGTTAGATTATCCGAGCCCACCTTTATGGCAACAATGCTGCCAGATGCAAGCTTTTGAAAAGTGAGATGATATGGGCAAAGTCATGCTATTTAGACTAAGTGTCAAGACCAGCATTTGTTCTTATTTTTGAGCTCTTAGAGAAACTGCAAGCACATGCCTCTCTCAATGTGTGTTTCTTACACTACTACATACACAGGAGGCTGGAATTTAAGGGTAGTTTGGAAGAATGTCTCCCACCAAAAGAGCTTGCCAGGAAGTTATCATGATGTCAGGTGAATTTACCTATTCTGCAATAATTCCAAAAAGGAGGCCAAGGCACAGTGAAAAGGAATTCTGCAACATTTTTGTTCTGTCCAGCTCTATTCTTGGACTAGGTCTCACACTTTCTGGTATAAGGGCTGCTGAAAACAAAGACTCAGACACACCTATTTGTATTAAAAGATTCCTAAGGATTATAGCTTTTGATGCAACTCTGCAATAGTCTCTTCCTTCTACAAGGCAGCAATATCTAACGCACAGAACAAGGGACTATGGATTAGGGTTTTATTGCCAACTTTATCATTAGCCTGTTATATGGGTTTGGACAAGCCACCTAAGCCAATTTCTGCAAAAGCTCCTGCTAGTTTTGGTGTTCAACCTGAGATGGATGTTCCAAAATGCTGAGCACTCACAGCTCCCACTATTTCAACTGGAGTCATAGGCATTCAACATCGGGGGAGGGGGGGAAGAGAGAAGAGGAGAACTCTAGCTCTAGGCACCTCAATTTAGATCCAATAATTAGCACCCATAATGAAGCACTGTATCAAGTTTCAACAGCAAGGAAGTTTGTTTCAATGGGGAAGTGATCACATTTTACCTGCAAAGCTACACCTGGCCACCAAGTTAAGACAACAATGTTCCCTCATTCTTGTATGGAAAAGCAATCCTTTGCCTGTCAAGTGAAAAAACGTATTCTTATTGCAGCAGCCTTTAATATTTCTCTTCATTCAGCTCCCAAGATTAAGAATTGTGTCTTGTAAGTCAAATGCTCGAAGATAAACTGTATATTAAGATCCAAGTGACCTCATTTTTGCATGTAAACAGCACAGGATGGGCTACACTAAAAGTTGTAAAACTGTAGAAAACAGGAGATGAGACCCTATTCTTACATACCAGTTGCAAATGTTTCTTTCCTCTCTTCGGTCAATATCAGTTAAGGATGAAGTTGGGCCAAATATGGTTTGGTAAGTAATAGCAGTCCTTATTTTTAGCAGGGTATCAATGCAATACATACTGATGCACAGCAGGGAGCTGATACATGCTGATCAGTGTGGCAATAGACACCTTACTGTACTTAACTAACAATCAAGCAGAGACACGTGTAGATAGAGGAAACCCACATGTGTCACTAAGCCCTGGACCTGCCTAACGACTGGGGTAGAAGAAAGAAGCAATTACATCTGTATTCTTCTCCGCTCCCACCCCCCCAACACTTACTTGGCCAGTGATGCCCGTGATGAGAGCCACCTTCCTGGGATTCATGTCTGCACAGTCCCCTACAATGAGTGCAGAGCTGGGACAGGCGTCCTGTGCCATGAGTCTGGAGGGGAGGGGCCCAGTTCCTGGCACTGCGGTTTAGCAAGAGTTGGGAGGAGACCGTGATCAAGGTGCAAGAGGTGGAGCAGGGAGTAAAGATGATAAGGGAAGGACCTGCACTGCAGCCGCTTGTGGGAGGAGCAGGGCGGTCAAGGTGTTGGATGCGGGGACGTGGGCTGCTGGGGCTGAACGGGGAGCGGGGCTGGCAGGGGCATAGGCTACAGGGTGCTGCCTGGACCAAAGATGAAGAGTTGGAAACTGGGCTACTGCAAGGGGGCGGGGTTTGCCCAGGCTGCTGCCACTGCCGGCCGCTGGTGCATTTCCGCGTCCCCGGAGCGGCTCCTCTCTTAAGGTGCAGCCGCACAGGTGCCGCGCCGCGCCGCTCCCGGCAGCAGCCCCAGGCTCGCTCGCGCTAGGATTTCGGGTTCGCGCTCCCAAGCATGCACGCGCTCCCTCGCTCCCCTGCTTGAAAAGCCGCCGCGGCGGCCTCCGCCAACCAATCAGTAGCAGCGTTGCTTCCTTAAGACAAGAGCTTGAGCACAGAACCCGGCAGTGTCGGGTGGTGGGGCCGCTGATTGGATAATGGGGTAAAGTGGGGGCGGGGCTGTCTCAGGTCTCAATCCGGCTCCGGCGGCAGCAGCCGCCGCCAAAAGCGAGACCCGACTTCCTGATGCAGCACCGAGGAGGCGGCGAATGCAAGGAGCGACATCAGCCCGGCCGAACGGCTGCGCCTGGAGCCCACAGCGCCCCCTGCACCGTGGAGGAGCGAGCCCTTGCTGGTAGCCGCAGCAGTCACCACCCAGGGAGGCACCACTCCCCGCTCTGATCAGCGTGCAGAGGCACAGCCCCTATTCTCCGAGCAGGCCCCAGTACGGGACCACAGAGGGGGGGGAAACTAGCAGAGGCAAAGGGCGGAACAACGGCAGGAGAAGTGGGGGAATAGCGCGGAGCGTCCCTTGCAGGCAGCGCCACTGCCCAGGAGAGGGATTTGGGGACCCTGGACAAGGGCAAAGCCACTGATGCTGCTTCTGGTGCTCTGGGATCCCCTCCACGGAGGCTGCTGGAGAAAGGCACAGCTCAGCCCTCTTGCTACGTATTCAAAACTCACGAGTCCATCTGTCAAGACTGATCATTGTACAACAAAGAGGATCAGACTCTTTTTTTATTTACCTTTAAAGTGCCCTGAGTTTGCATTTTCAAGCTTTTTGCTATAACCACAAGAAGTGTGACCCTAAGCAGGGCCAGCTTTAGGAAGTGCTGGGCCCGATTCAAACAGTTTAGACGGGGCCCCGTCAGGGATGACTAAAAAAAAAACCACGTAAAAACAACACATGGGGCTTGTACTGCTGCTGGAGCCAGGGCTGTGCACCCCTGATAGCAGGGGACTTGATTTGTCAGTCTCTCCCTCTTACCTAGCCCTACCTCCTGCTTACTTTTAGTAAAGTAACGTACAGATCCAGGCCTCCATGTTTTTTTTTGTTTAGTGTCCATGACCTGTCAGTGACTTTTACTAAAAAAAAAACATAACAAAATCTTAACCTTACTCATAGTATGTTTCCAGAAGGTATTTTGTAAGAGGTATTAAATGTAAACTAATGACACACAGGGCAGCAATAGCATTGTGTGATGTATGTACACATTATGTATAAAGAATTGTATGTATGCATGCTAAAACTATGTTCTTAAAATGTATTGCGAAGGCAACACATAAATCAAGTCTGTCCTAGCCCAATGAATGGTAATTGGCCTATCTGCCTGGCTTGATTACAGGCGGAGGACAATGAAAGTACATTTTACATACAAGATAAACAAAGCATTGAAACTAAGTAGCAGCAGAGGAAACAGCTTAGTGAGCACACCACAGGACAGTCTGCACCTGCCAGGAAGTGGGAGCAAAAGATAAATTCAAACTGGAACAGGTGCAGAGAAGGGCTACTAAGATCAGCAGAGGAATCAAAAACTTATGTTATGAGAGGAGACTCAAGCACCTTAGCCTGTTTAGCCTAACCAAACAAAGGCTCAGGGGAGATATGATTGCTCTCTATAAAATAGATCAGAGAACTTAAATACCAGAGAGGGAGGGGAGTTATTTAAGCACCAATGTGAACATAAGAATAAATGGATATAAACTGGCCATCAACAAGTTTAGGCTTGAAGTTAGAAATCTTTGCCTAACCATCAGAGAAGTGAAATTCTGGAACAGCCTTCTAAGGGGAGCAATAAGAGGGAAAAAAAACCTAACTGGTTTCAAGACTGAGCTTGATAAGTTTATGGAGGGGATGCTCTAATGAGACGGCCTACAATGACATGTGGCCCATGTGCAACTGCTAGCAGCAAATATCCTGCATGGTTGGAGATGGGGCACTAGCTGGGGAGGGTTCTGAGTTACTACAACAAACTCTTCTGCAGGTGTCTGGCTGGCAAGTCTTGCCCACATGCTCAGGGTGATCACCCTATTTGGAGTCAGGAAGGAAATTTCCCTCAGGTCAGATTGGCAGAAAGCCTGGGGGTATTTCACCTTCTTCTGCAGCACAGGCAGAGGTGAAAGTAAGCTGGTTCGGTGTACCAGCAAGAGCCAGTACGCCGTACTGGACCGGCTTCCCCAGCCGGCAATTTAAAGGGCCCTTTAGATTGCTGCCAGAGCCCCGGTACCGGAGCCGGTGGAGATTTAAAGGGCCCAGGGCGGTAGTGGTGGCTGGAGCCCCAGGCCCTTTAAATTGCCGCCAGAGCCCCGCTTCAGCAGCGGCAGCCGGGACCCCCAGGGCTCTGTCAGCAATTTAAAGGGCCCAGTTATGCTGCGGTTGCGGTAGCGGCAGCTGGGAGCCTCTGGCCCTTTAAATCACTGCCTGAGCCCCCAGCCGCCACTGCTACCCCAGGGCTCCGGCAGCAGGGCTCAGGTGGTGATTTAAAGGGCCCAGGACTCCGCTGCAGTAGCGGCAGCCAGAGCACCAGGCCCTGTAAATGGCCCCTGAGCCCCAGGGCTCCCAATTGCCACTACAGCTGGTAGCTCTGGCAGTGATTTAAATGGCCCGGGGCTCCCAGCTGCCACTACTGCAGCCGGAGCCCAAGGCCCCTCCTCTTCTGGAGGAGGCCACACCCTTCCAGTTGAGGCCACGCCCCCTGCTCAGGACTCTGGAGTACTGGTAAATCCTTTAAGTTACTTTCACCCCTAAGCACAGGACAAGGGGCACTTACTGGTTTAAAGTAAAATAAATGGTGGATTCTCCTGAAGTCTTCAAATCATGATCTGAGGACTGCAGTAAGTCAGAGGTCATGGGTCTATGCCAGAAGGGGGTAGGCAAGATTCTGTGGCCTGCATTGTGAATGAGGTCAGACTAGATTATCACAATGGTTCCTTTTGGCCTTAAAGTCTATGAGTCTAGGTCTTCCTGGCTACTAAGATAAAGACAATGGCCTTGGGAAAATATAAGGGGGAGCAAAAAAGTCATTCTAGTTATCTGTCATTTAAACAAAAGAGGACAGGGCTGTCTGATTCCTGTGAAAGTTAGATCCCCGGGCACGGAGGGCTAGAGTTGCTGATAACTTGATGTAAGTGAGAAAACTGCTTAGGCAATGATTATACCTTGCTAAAATTAAATTTTTGGCACTAGAAAGTGCGTTTTGTTTGGTTTATAACCACATTTGTCTCTTTTTCTCTTGATTAATATCACTTAAATATCCACTCTTCATTAACAATAAAATTATTTTTATGGTAAATCGCCTTAGTGCTGTTAGATTGAAGTAAAGTGTGAGTCTTCAGCTAAACTAACAGGCTGATGTGTTATCTGTCTCTTTGGAGACAGCAAATTTAATTTCTGTGAGCATACAGTGAGAGGGACTGGACACTACACTGTTGGTTACCTGCAAATCAAGATTAAGACTGGCAGAGTTTTGAGGAGTTTGGAGGTGAAGTTGACAGATTGGTGTGGCAGGGAACAGACGCACAGCCTAATCTCCTTCAAAGCTCACTCTTGCTAAGGCTGAGGGGTAACACAGGGGCTTAGAGGTGTTGGAGGCCCTGAGGAGAGAGTCACATTCAAGGTTGCTATTTTTTCCTATTTGCCTTTAAGGTACACTTGGTTCACATTTTCAATTTTTTCCACTACAACCACAGGAGTTAGAAATTTCCTTGTGTTATTATTTAAAAAAAGATAAATCCCTTATGATACTGTATGAATAAAGACCTTTTATATCACCGTTATATTCTGTACAAGACTTATGGAAACTGTGTCATGTACGATATCAATGGAAAAGTTATGATTTGCTAAGTAGGATTACCCTGATTAAATCTGTGCATCATCTTTGTATCCAGAGTATGATTATCGGTTATATACTTGTATCTAAAACATGGGTCGTATTCCTCAGTAATACCCTCTCAGATAGATTTGCATCAGGGCTAGACAGCTACGTGTTGATGGCCCAATCAAGGACACTCCACTCTAACAATGGGCCATTGAAGAAATTCATCCCCTCCAGATGGCTCCTTGCTGTCTGAGGCATCCTCAGGAAGATCTAATGGCCAACCCCTGTGATTCTGCAAAACATATAGGGGCATGTGATATGCTCGTGTGACCCTGGACTCCATTTTGGGCTAGTAACTTTACACATATGGGGGCTGTGGACTTCATTTAGGGACAGTACGTTTCCATGCACATTGCAGAGGGTATAAATGACCTCTAAGACACCTCCATTTTGCCTCTTTCCTGCTCCAATTCCCTGGAATGTGGATTTACAATAAAAAGGAGCATCTTGAACTATGGACTGAGGACCATCCAATCTTTGGAAAGCTACCAGAGAGACTTTACAAGCCAGCAGTCTAGTCCATCACTGCTACAAACCTGATATACGTACAAATGATTACAAAGTCCTTATATGATCTATTAGCCATTTATAACTATTAGTAAACTTTTAGTTAGTTTATTAAGGATTGGCTGACTGTGTGATATTTGGGTAAGATCCAAGATTCAGATTGACCTGGATGTATCTGATCCTTTGTGATTAGAAAGGACCTCACATATCATTAAATGGGTTTTCAATATTCTCTCACTATATTAGATTGGTGTGCCTGGCTGGGAGCCAAAGGCTGTAATACCTAAAAGGGACATGTTTGGCTTTGGTGAATCTAAATTATAGAATAAACCACCATGGCGGGGGAGGGGGAGAGAGGGAGGAGGAGAATTGTCTGCCCTGTGTATGGCACACAGGGTGGCCCATCCCAGGCCTTTGGTCACAATCTTCACCTAGTCCAGGAGCTTTAAAAAAAAAAAAAAAAAAAAATGACACCAGATACTCACACAACTTCCAATAAAATGGCATGAGTTAGCCACACTGGATCGTTAAGGTGTGAAAGTGGCTATTATGTTATCATCAACAGCTATAAATTTCAGACATCTAAAGACTCAGAAGAAAGTTCTGTAACTGAGAGGAGGGGCAAGAAA